CAATTGAGCTGGTAGTTTTCAAGAAAAATTCGAAAATGAAATTGTTGACAGATGATGTCTGACAGTCATCCATATAAACAGCTTTGTTCCGTCATCCATGACAGTGGAGATAAAAAATAAAAAGTTAAGTTACTTATAGCGTGTGTCCAATTCTAGTGTATTTTATTCTATTCTAAGTTTCCATAATTCTAAATTAAACACTTATTTACTTAATTTTATTTACTAATTTTTTTTATTTATCAATTCTTTTGTATATTATTATCTGTATGTATGTTTTATAGTGAAAAAAAACTTCATTCATTCATTCATTCATACATACCTGGAACCACCTGCAATTCAAGATCATCTCTTAACATGTTAATGGCAAGAAAATACGTTGGATCTTCCACAAATACAATATCACCTCTATTAAACAGCAATGTAGTCATGTAGTACAGACCAGAAGTAGCTCCACCTGTCACCAGTATATCATCACTTAAATAATAAATAATATAGAAAGAAGTAAAAGTTTGATCACATTTTATAATAGTACGGAAGAATGTTTGTAATATGCAAGATTCTGACAGTCATAATGTTTTTTATGAAACATTTGAGATTTCAACAAAATTTATTCTTGTTTTGTCTTGATTAAATTTCCTACTGCATGGTTGAGGCGATAATGACAATTTACCTGTCCACTTCATCACCATACTTTTCTGTTAAAAACTTTGTCATTTCCTTTACGAATTTACTGTCACCTTGAGTGCAGCCATATTGAAATAAATGTCCAGTTTCAGAAGACTGTAATGAGAAAAATCAGAAATTACGCATCTAGTACCACCTGTCATCAGAGTAACATAAGTTAAACAAGACATGTTAACTGGACAATGTTTAATTTACTAGATGCTGTACAAATGAAGAGCCAATGTCTTGACTGACTAATGCACTACACATCATTCCATCAGACAGTCAAGATTAGACATTTGCATTGGAATAATACCCAAGGGTTAGAGTATACTTACCAGTCTGTGTTGGGTCGCTTTACTCAGCAGATCAGTGCAGATTTTCAAATCAGTCAATGATGGGGCACCAATTTCCATGGCAACAGAACCTTCCTTTACATCACCCACTAAACCCATTGTGGTACTTATTTCTTCAAAATATGTTCTAAAATATTGTTTCTCTTTCTGGGCCATTGTCATAGTTACTTCAACGTTTTCTACATGAAAGAGGATTAGAAAACTAATCAGCATGAATAAATCTGTATTCAGTTTACTAGTTGCCTACTATGCAGCAAAAATCCTTGAGTTTAGTAGTATGGCCAAAAATCAAGATGGCTGCAAGTTTGTTGCCTTTTATCTAATCCCTAATTAGAATAAATTAAAAATCATGGATAAGAGAATGGATATCCATCAAATAAATAAATGATATCTCAAAAAGTTTGTGGGCTAGATAGATAGGAAATTATCTACTAAAACATTCAGACAACCGTTATATTCCCAATCATTGTGTAAATTCAAAAAAAATTATCATACAGATGGTCACACAAAAATCTGATTAAAATAAGATCCTAGTTTGGGCTTTTTTTTTTTGTTAAAATAATATCATTCATATTTTTTTCATATATTCTATTATTTTTTTTAAAATTTATTTGCTGGTATTTTTTTAAGTTTTGGTAATCGCGAAAAAAAAAAGCCCAAACTAGGATCTTATTTTAATCAGATTGGTCACACAAAATGGCAGCAATGAATCTGAATGTTTACTGATTCATCCACAGAGCCAATCACTATTAAAGTTTTTTGTAGAGAATGGCGTACTGTTTTAAAGGGTGGTAGTTGACGCTCCACGCATGCGCAAGATATATGGGTCTCATCAGAGGTACATTACTTGGGGTTTGTAACTACGATGACATGATACCAAGATCCCGTCACAATCTCGCTCTCGCATAAGCGTTCCAACTCAGAAAAATGCGAATGCGCATGCCCGAGGTAACTAGGATACTGGGATGTCCAGGTGGATCGAAATAGCTGCCCACGATATGACGGATTACGAGAACTATATTTTCTGTACATTTTCGATGTATTACATTTTTCACTATGATAGTGACAAGAAACGTTTATTTTTTTCATTACAAACCTTGAACATTGATATGCGTCATGTCAGAAGGTCGTAGTCTCAGTCTCGCTATCTACGAGAAGAGACTTGAATGGGATCTTGACATGATGTCACCATACAGTACTATGCGAGTTGCAAACCCCAAGTAATGTACCTCTGGTCTCATATAAACAAATATGATGATTTTGACTGTTTAACGAGTATGAACTGAAACGTTACAAGCTTTAATTAGATATTTTTTGCGCCAAGGTCAAACCTCACACTTGTGACTTCCATTAGAAGAGTGCATTGGATTATGGGAAAATCAATGTTTATTAACAAAAATGTTGCACATGTGAAGACTGCCACCTTTTGGTTTGACCATGCTTGGGTGATTATTCAGATGTGTATGTCAGTTGTTTGTCAACTACATGAGAGAGGCATCTTTAATGGTACTGAATGCATCACTGCACTTCAGGGTTCTGCATGCAACACTTTCAAATAGACTTAGAGTTATCTTTGGGAAACTGTACTGTACTGTATACCTGTACACCTTCCACCAAGGTGCAAAGGTGAATCATCACCAACCAACAGCTTGTTGATGTAGCCTAGAAAGTCTACATAATATTGGTTGCACCAGACCTACAGTGAGGACTCATATAATGAATAAGCAGGTGCAGGGGCTCTGGAACTCCAAACTTTCAGACAGACACATAAACTGTAAAGGGGAACAAAAACCCCTTTCTCAGCTTTATCTACTATATCTAGCTTGGAACGTCATTAAGTAATTGCCATATATTTTTACTGAAGAGAAAACACTGAGAAAAACCACCTCCTTCGAAATAACGATGCTATATAGAAACTAGTGATTTTTTTTAAATCTTGCCTTTAGTTCGATTTTAGTGCATCTGTTATTAAATTGTGGGGGCACTATTTTGCATATTATTCGTGATCATTGTCACATGCAACGTAATATTACCGTAATTGGTATAGTACAGGTGTGATGGTTCAAATACCAAAATGGCAACAGTAACAGAAAGACTTCCCTGGCGGCGATGATAAAACACGAACACGGAGCCAACAGATGAGGTTTCAACTGGTACTGGTATTATTATACTCTGCAAACATCAAGTACAATAACGTGGTAAAACTCCACTACTCCAATAACTAGATACTTAAACTTCAATACAATTCAACGAGATCTCCGATCTGAACTCAGTGCTGAACAGCTCCCCTATATATACCCCCACTGTCTATAAATAGACCATTACATCAGCATACATAATGAGTCTGGAATTTACTACAAATTTCTAGAATGTTCCATTACCTTCTATTGCCTCCTACAGTGTTCTATTACCTATTCAACCAGTTCCTAAAAATCTAGAATATTCTACCCAGACACAGTACGTTTCTAGAACATTCTCAATGACACGGAAGTGGTAAACAAGTCTAATGCGACAATTGTGCTTAAAATGTGTCAGGAACATTTTGACATAAAATGTAGTATTTATTTTGTATGAATTTGTGAGCTGGCGAATAATCCTGCACTTCTACTCAAACATATAATACATGTTGTCTATACAACTATATATTAGCACTACAATTGAAGTTTCTGAAAATCACATTTATTTTCAAATAAAATTATGTTTTAGTTTGATTTATGCCAAAAATTTACATTTTTGGATTTTTCTCAGGAATTATAATTTTCTTTAAAAAAACAACAAAGTGAATACAGTTCATCAAATTCAAATTTTGATTAGAATTAGAGAAATACTGTACTCAAAATATTTGTATTTATCTTAATTTCTCAGTAATGTTCAATTTTCCTTCTAATTTATTATTTTATCAATTTTTTTCATTTCCTTTTACTTTGCAATTTATGTATTTTTAATTTTAATTGCCTGAATACATCATTCTGATTGGTTGAGAGCATGATTAAATTGATGATATACCACATTTTGCACATGTACCACATGTATATGTAATGAAACTGGTTGAAATCATGTGGTGTACTCACCTCTGCAGGTGCTTAGCCCTTAATCCACACTGCAAACACCCCACGCAATGCACCATAAAGGTCAGACATTTGCAATCACTGGAGGTGGCAGGAAGAAGCCTGAACAGTGAGTGCATTTTTTTTTCAGGGCGTCTTCTCTGGACATTTTTTTTTTTTTTTTAACGCAATACCTTGCATGCAATTTTTCTTTTTCTTTTGCTCTCTGTCTCTAGTTTGCAATTTTTTTAAACAAATCTTCTAGCACCCCATGATTTCAATGGCCAAACAAAACATGTCAAAATGTGAACAATGTTTTTATCGATAACCAAACATCGCTAGCGTGTATTCTGCATGACTATCAAACAAATTTCATGAAATGTCAAAATTTAAACATAAGGCCAAAAAAAAAAAATGTTTTGTTGCCCTCAGCGACCGACCAAAAATATGAAATATCGGGTCGCGTTTTTTTTTCCCATATACCTCGGCTATTTACGATACCCTTAGTTTAAAAAAAAATCCGACCGACCGACCCAATTTTTCAATTTTCCGACTTGAGGGCAACATAAGTTGTTGTTGTTGTTGTTGTTGTTGTTTTTTTGGCCTATTGGCAGCCTAACTCACAGACCCTCAACACTGGGACTGTGCCTGAATGTTGAGAATTACCGTCCCGGGTGATTCAAGAGATAAAGCCTGCCACGAAAAGTTTATAATGACTCCAATACCTAATTTATATCACCATACATCACCTGATATAGATCTCACCAAATCAATGGACGTACTACATACATTGGTCATGAAAAATACCTTCTTGGTTTCGACGAGATAAAACACTGCCACATATACACTCAACGACATCAAGACATGCAGTCAAGTCTTCCACGGCCGATAGAAAACAGTACTGTGGCCCGTGTAAGCTGTAAGTCTCGGAAAATAGTGGTAAGTAGCTGCTAATAACAAGGCCACTTAAGTTGTAATAGTTTAACAAGGTGGATGTGCGACTACAATTTGGGGGGGGTATGATTTATTTTTTTCGACAGGTAGATAAAATGTATAGAAATGAATTGATAGGTTTCATGTCCCCGTTGCTATGTTACATAAGTAAATATGTGTCAGTAACTATCGAATGAGGAAAAATCGGTAAAAAAATAAATAAAGATTAGTTCTTTATTGGCTATAGAGGGTGCTATCAAAGATATAAATTTACAATAAAACTCTCCTCTTATTAATATACAATACTTCAAAATTATGGTAAAATTAATCTACCATTGCCATATATCATACATTATATAAACACATAAAAAATACGATTCCTAAAAGGACTCGGATCAAAAAGGAACCACCGTGTGCATTTTGAAACATAAATGATGAAAGACCCCATTGGGCTCCTCGTGTACTCCGAGTCGTTAGTAAGTTTCAACATTATCTCCATTAACGTCCATTTACCTGTAACGAAATAATACTAGTATTTATTTCTGAATGCACCCCCTCCAATTTTGGCTATCATGAAAGGTTTTGCAGTTGTATATGCTTTGATCCACTTTGATGGGAAGACTTTTTTATTGCGATTGTTGTCGGTTTGATAAATTGGATCGTATTTTTCACAGTTGGAAACGCATACTTTTGCTAACCCACTGTTCGAATAAAATCTAAAATCAGGATCTCATCGCCTTATTGTGATTTCGGTAGAATTTGAGGTCAGTTCCGGTACCATAATTACGGTTGAAGGATCCGATGTCTGTGAAACACAATAAACAGTAATGGTTACTTCCAAGGACATTTTACCAGTTGACGCACAAAAAGTCTGTTGACATGGACGAATCAAGACAAAGTTAGCCGATCCTTCCAAAATCTGCCAATAACATGCCCAGTCAGTGGATAAGTTGCAAAAATATGGCCCTTTATTGTATTGTTAAGGTCAATTAAGTCGCCTTTTTGGTTTTTGCTGACTGACCCACTCAACACATTGTCGTCCCTAAACGTCACATTTGTCGTGCCGCGCCAAGTTCAATCAAAATCCCAAGCAATTGGGATAATACATTGTATTGTACAACACAGATTTGGCTTTTCTAAAATGTCTGGGTAATTGAAATTGCTACCGGGAAAAAAATGTTAACCTCAACAACATCCATTTGAGGTGAGTGAAAAATTTATCAAATCTCGATAAATTGTCGTATTAAGGGGAATATTTTGCGAAATGATTTGCATGAGAATCTCCAATTTTTGACTCGTTTTTTTTTTTTTTTTTTTTTTTTTTTTTTTTTGAATGGTGACGTTCTACGTCAACTTAGCTGTTTATTCAGTCCCAAAGACCTACATGTTTAACCTTAAAATAAAAGGTTTACAAAGATTCAGCTCGTGACCAAGTCACGTGTCATGTTTGAACTTGACAAATATGTGAAAATGATTGACAAAGATTTTGAAGATGTTGTATTTATGCAACTTGATAATAAAGCTTTTAACAAATAATGTGACATAAATTTTAACTTTTTGCAAGAAAGGAGGGCCAAACGATATAACTATGTTAGAAAACTATTTAGTTGAAATGAATGGGAAAAACAATGATTTGGATTTGATGTTCACGGGTAGACTTGCTTTCAGTTCCTTGTTTATTTGTTGTTGTTTTTTCAATAAAATGTTATGAAATGAATAAATAACGAAAGCCGAGTTTCGCGGCAAAGGTAACTTTGCTTTCGCCATTTATACACCCCCACCATAACATTTTATTTTATTGAAAACAACAGCAACAAATAAGCCTAGTTCACGGGCGACTTCAACGACCAAAACAAGAGATTTAGCTGACTGCATAAGAACAAGAACAAGACAGTAAATTATGCCAGCTTGGGTAAAGATTTTGATATTTTAAAACTTGGATAAAAAGTCACGTGATATAATAATTGTTGTTCATACTTGATATAATTGTCGGTCATTCACGATGCATACTAAATGTAGTTGCCAACTTGAAGGAATATAGCCATTGCTCGTGCGTGTCTCAGACAATGTATTAGTTATATGAGGTTAAGTTGTACCGATAACGGTGTTAGCGTTGTTAAAATATTATATTGAATAGCTCTATTTATACATTTTGTTACCTTGCTGTTATTGACAGGACTACTACTGTACTTCCTGTTCGGGGATCGGGAACTTCGTTTCTCGTTCTCCTCTTACAAAAAGTTACAAACCTTATATCTTATAATAAGTCTCTAATTAAGTTGTGACAGAGTAAACAACCAATCGTTGCAGTCGTTGGCACGATCACGTGATTACCAGGGATGTGTCACACGGTTAAATCCCTGCAAAGTCGTCATAAGTAAATACATAAGTAAATTAGTAGAAACAATTACATCGAGAGGGGGTCTCTAAATAAAATATGGTACGGAAGCTGAAGTAAAAAACGCGTAAAAGAGGTATGTAAATGTACGGTAAAACAGCCATTGCGAGCGTCGCTGCGAATTCGCAATGGCAAAAAAACTGACGATTGAGAGTTCGCAATGGCAGAAAAACTGACGATTGAGAGTTCGCAATGCCACAAAAACAGTCGACTGAGAGTTCACAGTAATTAGTAACACATAAAACAAAAGGCTGATTTATATTGTTGAGCGTTGCCACAGTGGAAAATAGAAAACAGTTTTGAAACGTCGTGTGAACCATCAGAGGTATGCCGACAGTCAACCAATGGTAGATGTGGATTCACGCAACTCTGCTGTTACATTGTACCAAACATGAAGCAGGGAGATTTGACACGGCATAATAAAAGTCAAACTCTCTTGCGAGGACGTTTCATTTGGTGAATTATTTGAGGAAAAACGACAGAACTTATAACGGAGCTAATACGTATCCTGTTACGTGTCATATATATTTGCCATTCTCGTATTGTTGAACTACGATGCCACGGCGATGACCGGTAATATATGCACGCA